ATTTGAGTAGTTTTAAGACTCCAACCTTATCAAACACTTCCAACATCAAGTCTCTTTCAAATTTTTGAGCTTTTTTATAATCTGTGTCTATTATGTGTGGGGCAAATCAGGCAAACTTAGTAAATTTGGCTTCATATTCAGCCACAGACATGTTTCCTTGCTTTAATTGTTCAAACTCGGACACCTTTCAATCTCGGAAACACTGTAGAAAGTATTTTTCATAGAAGATCTCTTTAAATTGATTCCAGGTTAAAGCCCCATTAGTGTCTCGAATAAGCATCTACCAACATCGGGCTTCATCTTTCAAGGTGTAAGTTACCAACAAAACTTTCTAGACTTTAAAAAATAGAAAAACTTCAAATAGTTTTTCGGTCTCTAGCATCCATATCTCGACCTTTAGCAGTTCAATACCACCCAGAAAAGTTGGTGGTTTCATCTTATTAAATTTCTGAGTCAGACTGAGAACATCATTGTTGACCGGCTCTAGTTAGACCGAAGGGGGCGGAGGAGAAAGACGTTGTTGTCTTTGTTGCTGTAGCATTGATTCTGTTAGAGCCTCTAACATTCGTTCCATGCGGTTCATTCGGGCCTCGAAAAATTCAGGTGTACCATCACTTCTTGGATTTTCCATTTGCTATAGGTAAACAGAACACTAATAAACACAGGCAAATAATTCTTTACAGTATTCAATTTTAGTTCATTTCAGTGTCAATGTATAATGGTTCAGGTATGATCATATGATGTCACACACTCACATATGCAGATATAATGTCCCTAATTCTTTCTAGGGCATCCTATAGCTCATATGGACTCGTGTGTATGATAGAACACGTGCTTTGATACCACTCTGTCATGACCCAAACCCGCCCTTATAGGTTTAGCATCATAACCGGCCAGTAATCCTGGGATTACCCAAGGCCTCTGAATAGATTAAACAAAAGTAAAAGGGCTAGCGGAAGTAATTAAAAGCATACAACGTCCATAGAGCTGTGTCGACATACATGGGACAAAAAAATTTAAAACTTATATTTACATATATATATGATGTCATCAGAATGTCAGCCTTACGTCATCATAGATACAGATTAACCAAAAGCTTGTCCAAACAAACAAAAGAAAGTAATTTAAACTTGCACCATGTCCACAAAACTCGACCACAAAATATTTCGAAACCCTCTTAGGAGGCACATTGGTTGGCTGACTCAAATAGATTTCCATACAATCCTCACTGAGCTTAGTCCCACACCTGATCACCAGCATACATAAATAATACAATGAGCTGGAGCCCAGTGAATAGCAACATGGTAAAGGGTTATGAATGATGTCCAAAACAAATTCAGAAATCAGAGTTCATATTAGAAACATATTCAAATTCACATACTTATACAGAATTCATAAGTAGTTATATATGGTACATCTATTAGCTATTCGATTAGTTGGTCATAAGACCCACATATATAGTTGGTACTGACGACCATAAAGGTCAACATCTTTGTGCGCAAATAGTCATGGTATTGTTACCCTCAAGCGAGGGCCACTTGAACATAGGCCTTGGTATTGTTACCCCCGGGCAAGGGCCACATGAACATAAGCCACGGTATTGTTACCCCTAGGCGAGGGCCATGTGAACTAAAGATGTCACAAATACATTTCAAAAAACTGGACATTCATTCATGATTTACAAACTAGCATTTTAGAAAAACAGATCATATTATATCAGTCAGAAAATACTTATAGTCAAACATAACTTTATAGAGTTGTTACTCCCTGATAGCTCCAATAGCAGAAGAGTTAGAATAGTCGAAGCAACAATCTATGGCTCATGACCTAAGGTTTGAATTCCAAAGTTACTTAGCATCATTTTTCCAATTCTTCTTCAATTCCCTCATTTTACAATGTTGGACACAATACCTCTTCTCTCTCTCTCTCTCTCTCTCTCTCTCTCTCTCTCCACGTTTTGTGTCAAAGAATATGATGAATATTGAGTTCTAGAAGCTTTATTGGCCTTATATAGGCTAAATTAGTGAAGCTTAATTAACTTGAGTTAGGGGTAATCATTTGGGATTGTTTGATTCTAAATCAAATTTCAATTAAACCTACGCTAAAATTCTAAAAATTTCAAATTACCTATTGACCTAGTCAATTTCGCATTTGGTGGCCGATAAGGCCTTTAATTCATATAATGAAACAAAAACACAGACAGATATTTTTACGATAAACAGATATAAACACAAACAACACAATACACATGTAATTAACTTAGGATTTCATCTTAATTACTTGTTAGGAATTCTTAATCAAGGATTATATGCTAATCACAAGTCAGGGATGTTACAATCGGCAAGAAAGACAAACCGAGCTATAATACCCGCGGTGACCCTCCACAAAATAATGAGGAAAGCATGAGATAATCACAAACGGCCGAATCATGCCAAGACTGTGAAATATGACCAATCTGAAGTTGCTTTATTTTCAAGCTTTTTAGCGCTTGTAATTTTCTCTTTCTTTTTGTTCAGCATCAAAGTTTTTCAGACTTTGCCATGTGATTATAATATTGGATAGAATTTCCTAAGTAGACGGTAGAATGGCCTAGGGGCAACTACTTTGGTCTGAACTTTAGAAAATCTTTGCCGAGCTTATTAGCTCGGCAAAGTAGGTTGGCAGGTTTGACTAACTTTAAAAAATCTTTGCCAAGCTGGTTAGCTCGGCAAAGTAGATTGGCAGATTTGACCAACTTTGAAAAATCTTTGCTGAGTTAGTTAACTCAGCAAAGTAGATTAGCATATTTGACCAATCTCAAGAAAATCTTTTGACTGAGCTAGTTAGCTCAGCAAAATAGGTTGGCAGATTTGACCAACTTTGGAAAATTAGCTCGGCAAAGTAGGTTGGTAGGTATGACCAACTTTGGAAAAATCTTTGACTGGGGCTAGTTAGCTCGACAAAGTAGGTTGGCAAGTTTGACTAACCTTGAAAAAATCTTTGACCAAGCTAGTTATCTCGACAAAGTAGATTGGCAAATTTGATTAACCTTGGGAAAATCTTTGTCGAGCTGGTTAGCTCGGCAAAATAGGTTGGCAAGTTTGACAAACTTTGAAAAATGTAGGTTGGCAGGATTGTCCAACTATAAGAAATCTATGATTGAACAATTTTGGTGAGCCGATTGGATGGGCCAAAGTAACTAGACTGGACAGATTAATCCCAATCATGCACTGCAGATGGAATTAAGGGGCAATTGAGAGGGTAATTTGTGTAGCCAAATTGGGTCAAGCTAGGTTAGAGTGGCGGTCAAAGATGTTTGACTGATTTAGAAAATGCCCATATTTCTAGACCTAGCTACTTCCTATCAAAGATGTTTGACCGAATTAGTAAATGTCCATATTTTTGGACCTAGCTACTTCTTAGTAATGGCTAATGTCATGGCCGAGCTACCAAGCAAGGTAGTCAAACGGATAGGAGAGCACAACTAGGAGGAGAGTCGCGCAATGTCAGCTTAGTTGCGCACCGTGCAAAGATTGCACAACGCTGCATGTTGCACGGTTAAGCCATTAGCGAACAAAGCAAAAGTAGCTAGTTGCACGATAGAAAGCCGAGCAAAGACTTGTGCCATCTCACTTGGCTTGCAGTGAGGAGAGTGTTAAAAGATAATCATTATCCTTTGCGAATGTGATTCCTAGGAGGACTCTACATAGGAGAGTTAAAGTCTTATAAGGATGGTGCCATGCGGAATCTACAAAAGTTCAAACCAAACCCTAATTTCAGGTATTGCAATTCTTACGCTCGAATACATAGAGTTTTTTTGTCTATTGTCTATTGTCTATTTGTTGACTTAGATGCCGAGGGGGTTTCTGGCACACACCTACCGGCAAGCTCACTTTGGTGTTTTCAAGTGGTTGGACGACGACGTTTGGAGGAGTGCAAGTTTGATCAACAGGATTATACGAGAAGGATTATTTCTTGTTTGTACAATTACATACAAATTTTTTTTGAACAGTAATATTACATACAATTAAAACACATAAAATGCACAAAAAATGTAGCATATAACTGAAATCTATCTTAACTATTACAGGAATCATTCTTAAAATAAATCTCAATCATAAAATATATGTACTTTTTGTATTTTTTTTCTGTATTTTAATTCTGTAAATATAATTTAGTTGACAAAACATGGGCGGCGTTGGTAATCCGACGTGGATTATGCATAAGGTACTTCAATTAGTGGAATGCAAACTCAATCGTTGGACAAAAATTGATGGTCAACTTGGCCAAATTGGATGCAAATAAATCAAATCTAAGAGGGAAGTATAAAGCTATATGTATTAACTGATATATTAATTAATATATTAGCGCATGATATGATATAATCTTAAAGATTTTAAATCTTTATAATTTGTATAATAAGTGAGGTTCATAATTTTGAAATGATACTGATATGTCATAGTATATATTAATATACTAATTAGTGCATGTAATACACTGAAGAGGGAATGGCAAAAGGAGGGTTTTGAAGTGGAAAGAAAAGCAATTTGATGCTTTGGAATTTCAATTAGTGCTAATCAGACTCAGATAATTCGGCCACAACACCTAATGACATGGCCTCTTACCTAATTGGCTCACTCTGATTTTTTTTAGTTTAATGGAGCCCACTTAACACCATGCACAAAATTATATTCCTTTTGTGAACACTTAAAAATAAATAAATAAATAAGTGATTGATTGTACCACAAATAGGTTAATTTTGTTTATTTTCATCGGATTGTGCTTTAGTATGCAATTAACTCTGTTTGTATATCATCATTTTATTTATTTATATATTTCAGTTAAGATTATTTGTTATTTTTTTAATTACGATTGTGTTCCTTTCTTTTAACCACTGTTACCACTGTGAACCAACTTCATGAACCCACTTTCATTCAACCGTAAGAAGTATAATATGAACATACAAAATGGTGTGAACAAATAGACATTTTCCAAAACTTTTTTTAGACTAAAACCGGTCGAATCTTGAAAGAGAAGTGCATATACAAAGACACATTCTAGAGTCATTTTCATTTAGAAATTGAAGTGTGACATGAAATTTAAAGACTCAAAGTTGAAGGATTACATGGTACAACTCATTTTTACCATTATAAGTACATAACACTATGACACTAGCACTATGATTCCATTTCTACTTCACTAGAATTGCGTTTGAAACTTAATATCCTGTAGATTGGATATGAAACATTGAATTGAGACCGTGTGATGCAATCTCATACGGGTACTGCATGAATGAGTTATCATGACTTGAGTCAAAAACCATCACAGCCCCATCATTGGATTGACTCCAATTAAGCACTATTTTCGGTGTCCCAAGACTGTTATGTGAAGAAGGTTCACTATTGATCGATTGACAAGTGTCTGTGAGATGGACGGTGGTAATATCGTGGATGCTCGGCCGCCTTTTATCTTTCCCTCCTGAATTCTGCCTCATGAAGTACTTCTGGGCATGACTTGCCACTTGAGTTGGTGTCTTGGTGATCACAAAATTCCGAGAAATGTTTCTCCAGTCCCCCCTACCGTGCTTTTGAAGCCCCATCAAAAATCGCCTACAATTGGTTAACCACTCAAACATGTCACTGATATTCTTTCAATGATAATTTTTTTTCATTTATATTTCTTATGGTTGAAATTCCCTTGGATATTCTCCAATCAAATAAAAATTAGACAAAGATTGACAATGCAACGTAGTGGTGAAAGGGGTTTATCTGCAGTGGTTGCTGCAAAAACAAAGGGAAAAGAAGAGGACAAATATTTACTCTTTGATTGTGTTTTGATTTTCTTTGTTTTTGTTTTTGTTTTTGTTTTTGAAAACAAAAATCACAAAAAAAAGTACGTATACGCCATCATTTTCATTTTTCTTGCAAAAATTCAAAAATAACATTTTAATATTTACTAGAAAGTAGGTCGTTTTCATAAAAAAAAAATTCGAAACAATTTTATTTTCTTTTTTAAAAACAGTTAGCGAAACACCTTTATTGTGTTTTCTGAAAATAAAAACAGAAAACTAAGACACAACCAAGCAGGCACAAGATTCATTTGGGTAATAAAATGTATCAAATGATCAACTCAATGAAATCTTGTCCAAAAACGAAGCTTAATTAAGTTCCACTTTTCACTTTGATCAACACTTGTACCTGAAAATTGAGAAATTTTCCCAATAACCAAACACACAAGTTACAAGACGAAAACACCTAGCTTATTCCTAGCCAAATTTCACAATCAAGAAAGAGAAATTCACCTGTGCTCATCTTCTGTCCATGGCACCCCTTTCTTCCTCTCCTGATCCGAACCTCGACCCATCAAATTTCTCTTCCTAAACTCATCAAAACCGCGACTATCCACCATTTCCAATGTGAAAGATGAGGTCAAGTACCCGGGAATTGGAACCAAACCGGCTTCTATATCACTAACATCTGCTTCCAATTCCTTGTAATGCCTCCAAACATCAGAAGCCGACTTTCCAGGAATCAAAGCCGCCACTTGAAACCACCGGTCAGGCGATTGCTCATCGAATATCGCCAAAGCTTCTTCGAACCTTTTGTTCTCTTCTTTAGTCCAAATTGCAATCCTGCTTGCTTGCATCCATAGATTCAAATTCGGAAAATACGAAGAGGGACGCAGAGTTTCCATGTCCCTCACACAAGAAGTCTCACACCTTCAAGATTGCAATTCTCAATTCAGTTTGAGTTGAGGATTTGTATCTATTGAATTGATTCAAGAATTCCAAGTGATGAGAGAGAAAAAAAGAGTGAGGATTTACAATGACTCAAAAAGGCATTGAATTCAGAATCATTTACTGGAATCAGAATACACTTTTTCTAATCAGCATAAATTTGTAGAATCTGGAAAAGACCCACCTTTTCTGAATCAAGAAAATCAAGAAAATCTTGAATAAATCTCAAACAATAAACTGATTTCTTTCCAATCACATCTGGTACTAAACAACAACCGAGCAAAAGCCAGAAAATCTACTGAACTTGAAGAAATGAAGCTTCAGAAAGTGAGAAACTGAAGAGGAATTGGAAAATTCATGGAAAGAAACCAAAACCCAGTTGAGAAAAGTGATTGATTCCCAAGAATCGGGTGAGAAAAGGCGGGAAAGTGATTTTTTTTTTTTTTCTTCTTTGCTTTTATTTGAGTCTAAAGAAAAACAAAGAAAATAGAGAGAATTCAAAGTTCAATAGTAGTAGTAGTGGCGGTGTTCTTCTTCATTGTGATCATGAATGAATCCAAAAGAAAGCAGAATCAGAAAGAGAAAAAGAGACATGAAAATTAACCAAACTTGTGAGAAGATGTATTGTTTGTGCAATTAATGGAAATTGTTTCTTTGCACTTATTATAAAGAGTTGATCTTGGGTTGGGAGAGCCTTTGGCTGCTTTTCATTGTGGGTTTAAGTAATCAAAAGGTAATGAGTAGTAATCAAACACTTTTGTGTCAGCAATTCAGCATAAAGACACAAGGCATTGCCATTGAATGAAACTACTTTCTCTGTTCAATGGTGCCTTTCTTTCAATGGGATGATGGAATATGAGCCCTGCTTCAATTTTTAATTATGCAACTTTTTTTTTGGCTAGAGATGTAAAAAGTCTGTTTGATTTGGCTAAAACAGTAACTTGTCCATACAAAGTAATTTCTTTTACAAGGATTCCACAACACTATGAGCAAGGATCCTCTAGAGTAATTTTTCTCTAAAGTTTTTTAGAGTGCTATATTGTATGGTTGAGATTTACTGGCAAGTCACATCAATTTTTCTGATGTGACTTACCAGTAAATCTCAACCACACAATGTAACACTCTAAAAAACTTTAGAAAAATTTCACGATCCTTGGTGCAACACTATACGTGTAATATGGTAAACTTTTACCAAAAAGTAGAAGTTGGAAAAGACTTGCATGACTTTCTGTATGATAAAAAAATAATATTTTTAACAATTGACTTTTTAAAATTTTATAATATAACAATAATGTTACTGAAAAACCAATTGACAAACCCCCAGCTAAGTAACCAAAGGGAATGAATGACCTTCTCAAGACTGTTGGGAAAATTTTAAAATTAAAGTTTGCTTTCTTGGATATTTGAAAAGGGAATCATTACAAATTAATTTAGAAAATTAAAATTAGTTACAAATACATGGGAGTGTAACTTTCTGTGCAACAAAGTCACAGCAAAAATTACACGAGATGTTTTGGTAAATATTTTTTTTCATTCCGACTGTCATGTAATTTCCCTTTTGAAAGCTTTATTGTTCATTTTTTGGAAAGCTTGAAACAAGTTTGTAAGTTCGTCTCACGTTGGAAAGTGGAGGAAAATTATAACATTTAATAAAGTGCTATATAAAATATTCATTTGAATAAAGAATTGTGGAGTGAACTGTGTGATATTTTGATAACGCACTTCCCACTATACATGTACATGTTGATGTAAGGCGCTTATTATGACCATTTTTCAACAAGAACAATCACAAAGTTTGTGTCTAATGATTATTCGATATGTACGATACAGAAATTATATGTATTTGGGACTAATAATTAAGTATCACTAAGCTAAAATGGTATTCTCTTTTGCATATATATATATTTGAATCATTAGAATTCACTCAACTCATCCCTTTTCTAGTCTATAGGAGACTCCAACACTGCACCTTACCTAATTACACTGTAGAAATCATTTTCAGAGCTAATACTTGGTTAGAAGAGTGCAAGATGATAAGGTTTATCTTGTAAAAAAGAAGAAGAAAAAAGTAAGATTTTTATACACTGTTATCAGATTAGATACTCTGACTTGATTAGGTTTTTATTATCTAAAATTAAACAATTAGTGTATGAATAAATGTATTTCTCAAATTATATTAAAGTGTGATTAACAATTCAGACAGTGTTATGCATTAATTAAAAAATATGATTAGCAATCATATTTTTCTTAATTTGTAAGTGATAAGGTCAAACTAGTGATTGAAATCAAGAATTTCAATGTGTTGTGTGTATAAAAAAGTACATGTCATTGTAAAAATTCTTTAATTTTTTTAAATAGGAGTGAAATGACAATATCAGTACGCACAATGATAAAGAATCCAATCATAGTGCCAGTATCATTATTAAGAAAGAAGGAAAAATGGCGGCTTTGTACCAAGCCAATCTTAGCTTCTGCCGACATTATTTATAAAAATTGACAAAAGAAGTAACATTTTTTTTTTTTTTGAATTTTTTGTATTTAATGATTTTTTTTTTTAAATTATGTCAAAAATTTTTATTTTTACAGACAGCCATGTGTAGATAAATTTAAAAAGATATATGTTTTTTGAAAAATTCTAAAAATATATATTTAAAAGCTAAAATAAGCAACAACAAAAAAAAAGAAAAGAAAGAAGAAGAAGACAAAAAGCCTACTATATATTTTTGACTATTTTTATCTTTTTTTATTTTTTGATTTGTCTCATTGAACTTAATATAGAAACCTAAAGCTTTTTGAAAATTTAAAAAAAAAAAAAATTCACTAAAGATGAAAATAAGTATAAAAAAAAATTAAAAAATTAAAAAAAAAACCATCAAAGAAGTAAACTCCAACTATCCACTAATTTGCATGGAACTTCAGTCAAGGTGTGATTTCATCATCCTATAAGATTTTGCCCCAGCAATGCTATAAATTCGAGAAAAAAAAGAAAAAAAATACTCAAAATTTGGATTGCATATATTAGATTTATTATTGATAAGAGTTCATAACACATCAAGTTAAAACTCCATCATATATCTACTTTCTAAGTAAATTTATGATTCTCCCTGATTTTACCCTAACAATTGGCAGGGTCGCCCTGGCACTCATGAAAAATCATGAAGCCACTGTGATTCATGGGAAGAATTTATGAAGTCCTATGATAAATGATTAAGGCCTCGTTTGGGAACAGGCTAATTTAGTAACTTTTTGGCTATTTGGCTAAAATATGAGCTAAAAAAAACTAGTATGTTTGGGATGACTTTTTGGCTAATTACGAAAAGATGTGCAAAAAGTAGAGAGAAAAGAGAATCTTTGACTTTTTGGTATGAGTTGTTGGCTTTTTGGCTAATTTAGTAACTTTTTGACTTTTTAGCTAAAACAGAGCCTTCCCAAACGAGGCCTAAATCATAGTAGAAACAACTCCTAGGTTCCATGTATATACCATGTCTATAGTGGTTGTGACCTAACAAGATTTTGCTCATTGAGCCCCACACCACATACCACACCACGTGCTGTCTCCATGTGATGTGGTCATTTTCTTTTCTATATTTTTGGTTTGATTGGGGTTATATAAAGAGCCATATAATCCTTTGATTGGATATAAGATATTAAATTGAATAAAATAAAATAAAAAAAGATATAAGATATCAAATAACAAAAAAAATAAAAACAAAACAAAAGACGATAATAATGTGTGCGTCACACTTTGAATATGATATTTAATAATATATTTATATTAAAAAAAAAACAAGATAGGTGATATTAACTTCATAGTATTACATATTTCTTATGATATATATCTCACTTTAATAAAATATAATAAGAGCCACCTTACAATATATTTAATTCATATTATACCCATATCTATCTCATCTTATATTCTTAAGTATGAAATATTCAATCCAAACAATCAAGGGGGCCTAAATTACTTAAGTCGATTTACACCAAAAAAATCAAAATGTCACAAAATAAGGACATATCAAGGAAAACTAGCATGAGAGTCCAGAGTTAACCCATTTATAATACCTAAAATGTAAATAAAAAGAGGTTATTCTTACCAACAATTTTAAGTCTTCAAATTTTGTAGAGCTTATTGGTGTGGTCATTTTTAACATAAGTTAAACATTTTCAAATAACCCTTCTTTTAACATGAATGTTTGAAGAATAAACTAAAGTAAACAAAAATCTAATTTAGAGAGTGATACATGCCATGCGGATGATATATTTAAAAAAAAAATAGAAATTAGACTTTCAATTATCAATTTACCATATAATTACTAATAATATTGTTCTTTCAATGTGATTGTTTAATATTTAATTGTAGTATTTATTTAGTTGAATATAAGACCAATAAGGCGCCTGTAGCTCAGTGGATAGAGCGTCTGTTTCCTAAGCAGAAAGTCGTAGGTTCGACCCCTACCTGGCGCGTTTATTTTTATATTTAAAAATTGCACTCACCCCCTTAAGTTTGAGAATAATACAAATAACTCCGTAATATTTTTTTAAAATTACACTCTCGCCCCGCCTAAGTTTGAGAATAATACAAATAGCTCCATAAATTCGGTTCCATTTTTAAAAATTACACTCAGCCTCTTATGTTTGAGAATAATACAAGTAGTTCTATAAATTTGGTGTAGCTACAATTAAATTGCACCCACCCCCCTAAAGTTTGAGAATAATACAAATAGCTCCATAAATTTAGTTTAATTATACTAACTTCTCTTAATAAGGTTAAAGTGGTTAAAAGTAATACAAATTGTGAGGAAACATTGAAATAAACAAAGGTAAACATACATTTTAGTTATAAAAATAAAAAATAATAATAAAAAAGAAGAAGAAGAAGTTAAAATCATAATATTTTTTATCTATACGTACGATTAATGAATTATCACCCCCCTTAAGTTTAAGAATAATCAGCACCTAAAGTTTGAGAATAGTATAAAGAGTTCTATAAATTTGGTGTAATTAAATTGACCTCCCTTTAAATTACACTCACCCCTTAAAGCTTGAGAATAATGCAAATAGCTCCATAAATTTGGTATAATTACACCGACCTTTCCTTTAATAAGATGAAAGTAATCAAAATTAATACAAATGGTCAATAGACATTAAAATAAATAAAGGTAAATATACATTTTAGTTATTTCAACAAAAGAAAGAAACATAACAACATAATATTTTTATATATAAGACTAATGAATTACTAATAAAAGAGTTATAAGTGTTACGTGAATTAAAATTTTGACAAAAATTAATATAATTATGTCAAAAGTATAGGACTAACAATATTTTTTTTCAATTTCAAGAAAGGCTAGTGTAATTTGTCTTTTAATAAATGTAACAATTATAAGATCAATAGAATGCGAGGACATAGACATTATTTATTTTATTTTTTGTACTAGATATAAAATTTATATATATGTCCCTGGATTTTAACTCCGCTCCTAGACTGTAGTGTTGTTTGCTGGTGCAGAAATAAATTTAATTTCACGAGGTCTGCTCTTATAAATGAAATGTTAAAAAGTATTAAAAAAAAATTAAAAAATTAAAAACTAAGTAGTGCAATAGAATCAAACAAAGTAGACAACCAAGTTGATGAGAAAGCAAGAAAGGATATGTGCATGAGTAAGCATCTAGATGATATCATCCTGGTATAGGATAACTATTAACTGCATATCACCAATAGTGTCTTATTTTCATCTGAAAAAAGTTAAAACGTTTGATGATAATTCTTTAAATTTACTTTCAATGAGATGCTATTTTTATGTCAAATTGTAATAATGTATTGACGGATTGTGATTCTCTCATTTATATAAGAGGACTTGCTATATTTGACTTGGAATGGCAATCTAATTCTGCATTAATTATATTTTCATTCTTAGATGTACTCACATGAGAATGAATAAAATTTAGAATGAGATTTCCATTCCATCTCTTTCTAAACATGGTGAGCATGCTTTGCCTTATGGCACAACACGCATGCTGTGAGTTTGAATGGAGACTTGTCTCGAATTTATTTTAATGATTTGAACCATTCAAATTGTAAGTTTATTGAACACATCATCCATAAAAAAAAAATCAACTTAATCGAACATGTTAAAATAAATTATCAAAATTATTTTAACCGCTTATTTTTTTTAAAACAAATGTGGTCTTATTTTGAAGTTATGGATATCCAATTATTTTTTTTTTACAAATAACGGTTTGAATCAACGACATAGGCTTGAAATAAAGTCTCATAAGCCCTTACAGAACCATGTTTTGCCTACAATGCACAACATGATCCCAATCCCCCTCTTTATCCCCTACTTGTCAAACATGAATATTCTCATCCATATGAAGTGTATTTTTTGCTTAAAGAGGAGAGAAATAGCTACAGAAAATATTGATTCATCAAGGAAAGGTGGGAATCTTGAATTTGTCAAGAGATTTATTAAAACAAAGGAAAAATTAAAAAGAAAATTAAAAAGAAAATAAAAGAAAAGAAAAAGCAAGGAAAAAGTGAGTTTTTTAGTCACTTTTTGCTTTTCATTTTTTTTTTAAACCAAATTTAAGATCCAAACACAGATAAAGAACTAGTTTGGCTAAATTTTCAAGTTCGTTTTTTGAAAAAATTTCTAATTTGGTTGAAAAAATAGAAAACAGTCATTATTTTCATATACTTTTCTCATTTTTGAGACGGAAATAATTTTCAAAAATTCAAAGATATCTTTTTTTTTTTGTCGGTTAATTTTTGCCAAACTATCTTATAAATTTTTCAAAAAACAAATTCTAAAAACTTATTTATTTGTTTCAAACAGAGCTAGAGATCATCATTCCTTCAAAATTCCAGTTAGTGCAAGCAATAGAGAGTACTTATATTCTATACATTCAAACACATAAATTCAAAAGCAAAATGGAATTAATTATCCAATAGAACAATGGAATCAACTCAAATTCTCTCTTCACTCACTCAACTCTTATTTCTTCTCTCTGTGTCAAATCCTTTGCTCTTTCTTTCTTTAATTTTGTGCACCACCCAATCTTGTTTTTTTCTTCTACCTCTTCTTCTGATGTAATGATAATAATAATGATGATCCCTCAAATATCTGAGAACACAGCCACTTTTTTTATTTATTGGAATTGGCTAACACATTGGAAGGTCACTTGGAGGCTGTATAAGTGTCTCATTTGGGTTTTTTCCATTGTCCACCAAAAATGCCATCTTCAGTCCCCAAGTTGTGTGTACTTCCAAATGACAATGTAGAAACCACACACCTACACAGTTTCCAAGTCAAAATCAAATACCATTCAAGGCAACTTAAAAGAATATGAGGAAAAATAGGTACACACCATTAATTAAGTCATATAATATCAAAATTGAAATGGATTTGCTCCAGTTGAATATCATATTAGAGAGGTGTTTTTGGACCTCATGGGCTTATCTCATAGCTGACATGGGTATGCATGAAACTTCTTTTGAATGATCATAAATTTTCTGTTCTCAAATTCTTATGTCCCTAATCTCCTTATCTCAATTTCTTTACAATCATTAAATTATGTGAAAATCTTAAAACCTATGAATCTTAAATCATTATCTAGTAGTTAAGAGCGCATTAAAACAAAAGGGATAAAAAATTGGAGATGGAGGATCCTGTGTCCAAATAATCTCGTGTAACTTCTTTTGGGAAGCCGACATGGGATCATTTGTCGCATTACCTATACTATCTTTAGTCCCATACTGTAACTTCTTTTGAGATCTGTCCCACTTTTTGTACTATCCTCTGTTCCATACTTTCTAGCTATTGATTTTGATGGCATGGAAATATGAGATTAATACGAGATAGTGTATGCAAAAGGGAGTGAGAGAAATGATCTATATATGCTATGGGAAGGAGGCAATAACTTCACATCAAAACTATTTTATGATCAAATTAACATGACCTTCAGATGCAGTTTCCTTGTCAAGAAAATGACTCAATAACAACTAAAACCTTATTTAATTCTACATAAAATTCACTATATAATTTCCTTTAAAATTCACCGTCAAAGTTGTAGAAAAATTTCTTTAAAAAAGGAAGAAAAAGGAAACAAATGAAGGAAATTAGATAAAAAGATACGTATATAGACTTACCTGGGTTATTTGCTATGAATCTAATAGCAGCCCACCCATCAGTTGGAACACTGAGTGTGTTCCTCTCAACAGGATCAACAAGATTAAATTTTTTTGGATCATTAACCGGGTCAAAATTACCCACTCCCCTTCCAATCGCGAAGAAGTTAAACCCGTGCAGATGAATTGGATGGCTCTCTGGCGCCAAAAAAGCTGTGCCCTGGAGCACAACTTGTACCGTGTCATTGTAAGCCAATCTATAAACCTTTGTACCATTATTAGTCTGCATATTCTTCGGTGTCGTGCCTGTATAATTAAAAGGGATTGGCGGGTTTCCGGGAAAATCATCAGTGAAAACTCCGCTTATATTGAAGTAATGTGCCTGAAGCATGGCTATAGTGGGCATCACAAAACTAACATTGTTCATATTCCCAACAGCCTTGCTTCCATTGACACATGTCGAACAGGGGTTGATCCCAACCCCGATAGTGAAAAAAAGCGAATGATCAACCGTTAACGGTACTTTAGCCGGGTATTGTATCGAATTAAGGCTTTTAAGGGACAGGATGAAGCTATTTGTCACCGGCGTTGCGTTTAGAGGAGGGAGAGTGGTGAGGGAGGTCGGGAAAAAGGCGTGCGTGCCTTTGTAGCGCAAAATGCCGGTGGCAGTGAGGTTGTCCACCGCCACCACACTGTCCATAAAGGGTGAGATGGCAATTAAGAACTTTCCCGTGTCGTGACTGGCGGTTAGGAGGGCATTTGTGGTCTGGCCTGGAGCGATGAACACGGTGTCGATTGAGAAGGGCTTAACATAGGTGGCGTCCACTTCAACTATGGTTAGATTGTGCCCGGCAATCTTGAAAAATAGCTCATCATTGACTGCAGCGTTGATGATTCTTAGCAGGTAGGTTTTCCCGGTTTCAACATGTAAACTGTAACCTGCACAGGGTATTAGGAAGGGAGCAAATGGGTTATTAGAATCAACATTTTGGAAATTTTTTTGCCTATTTTTTTTCGAGGGAGGAAATAATTTAACAGACAAGGTCATGAAATTTTTTGCTAGTGCAAGATTGATTAATGAACTAACTTACTTAAATTAATCAAAAAATAACTTGGTTTGCTTTTGGGGTTTGCTTCTCATAATTCAACAGACAAAATCATGAAAAAGTTTATATTTTTAATTATTAATATGTATAAAATTTATTATTTATTTGTAATTTTTTTTAAAACATTACACTGAATTGAAATTCCCCCCTCCCCCCTCCAAAAAAAAGAAGGCTTTCAAAGAAATTTTATTATTTGTTTTTATTTTTCAGAAAACAAACTTGTTTGGCCAACTATTTTCGAGAAATTTTTTTCTGAGAACAATAGTTTTCAGGAAACACCAAAGTTGTTTTCTGATTTTTGAACACTGTTTTTTCACAAAAAGTATAAATAATATATGAAATTGATGGTTATTTTTAAATTTAAATATATATATATCATCATTTTCATCAACGACAACCAAAAAAAAAAAAAATGGAAACAGAGGCAAAAGGGTTAGTCTACTACACTAAGAATGAATAACCTATGTATTCCCCATAGTCAGTACCCTGAGAAGAGCAATTTGGAAAAGGTCCTGGATGTCCATTAATGGTATGTGAATCTGATATATTTGGTGGTAATCCAGATTGCATAGCCTGGTTTATCACTGTTTCAACATCTGCCTTCCACCATTCACCTACAATTTAAGAGATATAACCAAATAAAGTTCCAACCGAGGTTTTAAATAGCAGTATTAGGTGATGAATCAGCATTGTTCGTGGTGTAACAGTATTAGAAGTATCGATTATGAACAATAAACTGACCCATATGCATGTGGTTTTCATTTTGATTTGTATAATGAAATGTATCAGTATTTAAAAATAAAAAAATCTCACCGAAGATAATGACTTCTTCCTTATCAGGTTTGGGGAAAGGATAAGGAACCCCTTTCTTGGGCAAGATGACAATGGCACCATGAACAGTAGCCCTTAGCCAGGTGATATGGGCATGCCAAAGAAGGGTACCTCTTTGACCTGTGATTGTGAAGTTGTAGATGTAGCTTTGCCCTGGTTGTATTGGGCACTGTGTGATGTATGCTGGCCCATCTGACCATCCTGTTCTTAGCTGCTTTATTCCATGCCTGTCCTCAATTTTTCCCAATCCATACCAAAATTAATTAATTATCATTGTGCTCTAATAAGTCATGTATTTGTGAAATAAATGGTCTTTTTGGTGCACATTACATCAAGAAAATAATAGGTATATATAGCGAGTGCAATTTGGGCGAGGCTAATCAAAATTTTAGAATTCAATTATGTTTGTAACGCAAAAAATTTTCATTGGAATGAGATACAGATGTGAGACATATGTAAGATGTACATATAGGGGTGCAACTCGGGCGGGTTCGGGCTGGTTAGGGAATTGTCCAAACCTAGTTCAAGTTGTGCTGAGATCTGCCCAGGCCCGCCCAAACCCAAATTGTAACTCGAGATTGCCTACCCAAGCTCGACCTCGAGTTAAACCCGAATTGCCCGAGTTGACCAAATTGCCCCAATTGTATTTTTTTATTTTTTTTTTGCAACTATGTTATTAAATTATTAAATTTTGACTCTATTTACATTTTTTTATATATATAGAAAATCATTAATACCATCAAATTAAATAATTTATATAATGTAAGAGAGATACAGCTACTATATATTTAATATTTTTATATATCTATATATGTATAATTTAGGCTTCGGATTGCTCGGGTTGTTTGATGTCTTTGCCCAAACCCGTCCAAATTTAATTCAGGCTTCTGAATTTTTGCCCAAGCCCGTACCGAATTTAAAAATATTTTGTCCAAGACCTAACAAAATTCGGGCTGGGTTCGGATTGCTCGGGTTAAACCTGCCCAAGTTACACCCCTATCTACATATGTCTCACATCTGCGTCTTATTCTATGAAATTTTACAATTTAGAATTTGACAATTCAAAATTTTGTCAAAGTTTGGACTAAAATTTGCAACCCAAATAAAATTTGGATATTCTCACTACATGAGTAACCCAAATTCTATTATTAATATATAAATTATATAAAATGAACCAAAATTTACATATAAAAAAATTAATATTTTTCATATATTGGATTAAATCATATTGCAATGTAATATATTTTATTACTTTTAGTACACACAACTCAAACTAATTTTTATTTATTATATTATATGTTTGTAATTTTTTGAGATATATATATATTTCTTATTTATTTTCAAAAAGTGCACTAAATATAAATTTTTTCAACTATGATACAGACCACTAAAATAAGACCACTAAAAGCAGCTCTAATGAAGTGACATGCCTAAAAAAAATTAAAATAAAATAAAAAGAGGAAAAGGACAAAACACAAAGAGGAAAAAGACAATTTAATGCTCCTTTAGTGCTCTTCTTTTAGTGCTCTAAATCATTTTTCAAATTTTTTATGTTGAATTTGGGTAACTTGAGCTTAACTCAAGGTCTCAGAATTGGGCAAGCCAGGTGCTGATGGAGGTCAAGGTGGAGCTTGGGCCAAGCTTGAGCTTGGACAGATCTTAGCCTGATCTTTACCCATCCGAGTTGCAACCCTAACCATTTAAATTACTTTTTTAATATATATATTGTTAATTTTTTTCACCTTAGTGAAATTTTATCCACTAAAGACGAAAAAAAAAAACCTATAAAAATGAATTTTTTAAATTAGTAGACTTTTTTATTATTTTTTTTTATTCAAGATTAAAAATAAAAATAAAAATAAAAAATTTAAGCTGTAGTGAAATAAATACAAACCAATGGATAGTAATATTGTACTGGACGTGGTTGACGACCCTGAGGATTACGGTGTCATCTTCTCTTGCATAAAGAGTAGGCCCTGGGAACTTCCCATTCACTACCACAATTGGCTTTGTTGCACACAGCCTTGTTGCATTCTTCAACACCACCTGAACATCACAACCCCCAACACATTTCCTCTAATTATATACATATATATATTTGCAATAAATAAAAATGAAACATCTAAATTATTATTATTATCATCTAAGTTTACCCCCTTTTCTTTAATTATTTAAAGTTCAAGTTTAATTGTTTGGTCCATCTCTCATTATTAAGTAATTCAACTTTGTCTGTTTTAGTAAAAAATATTTTCGAAAAGAAAAAAATTAAAATTGCATCTTTAAAACTAATGTTTTAATGGTTATATTAGTGTAGCGGTGGGGTGGCGATAGAGGTGGAGGCGGCTGTGATGGAGTGGTGGTGGTCATGAAGGTAGTAGTATGGTGACATTAATAAAATTTTCGTTCAAAAAATATTTTCATTCTTTTAAATGTGAAAAATATTTTCTACTTACATAGATTTATTTTTCATTGATCACAAAAATGATTTTATGTTAACTTTCATTTTTTATTTTTTATTTTTTAATGCTTCATTTGTTTGGGGAAAACTATACAAAAGAAAAATAAGTGACTGTTTGCCTATGAAGCACGGGTACGGATACGAGTACGAGTACTGGTATTGGTATGATATGAATACGTCGATACAGTAAAATCTCAAAAAAAAAAAATTAGAGTACGGGTATGACCTAGTTTGCTTGTAAAAAATTATTTATTTTTAATTTAGAATAATGTAAAAATTACTTAATGGTTTAATTTATTAGGATCCAACCTATAATTAACATTTAACACCAAAAGTAAAGGTATAAATCAAAATTAAATGGCAATATATTAAATAACTTACAAACCATAGTTTAATTTTAAATCACGCTAAGTATAAAATTAAAAATAAAAAAGAAGTCTAGTAAAAGGAGTTTTATCTTTGTATTAGAAAACAAATATTATTTTAACTGAGGTACGTACGGCTTGAGTCTAGGTACACCAAAAATTTAGAAGAAAAATTTTGCGTACGTTTTTTGTATACCCAGTATGTATGTAGAAATATCATATGAAATATCATACGTCAGTAAGTGCCCAATATGAATACGACATGTTTTTCAAAGTATCCATACTTTATAGTTGTTTGCTCGTAGGCTGAAACTACACTATTAATCAATAAATGTTACGTGTATTAAAAAAATAAAAAAATAAAAATTAATAAACGGTCTAAATTCATTGTGTTAAGTCATCTAACGCAACGAATTTTGATCGCACATCTTTTATAAACACACAAAATAATACATAATACATACGAAAGGCATTGTGCATTCATATTCCATATCTTACGACCGGTTTTGTGTTTGTAAACTGATTCATCATATCCTCACTAATGGCATTGTTCTATGCATAGCCAACTTGAACATAAAAGGTGTGGGAAAAAAAACAAAAAGAATGTACTCACACTGAACTTGTAGTGCCTAACCGTGGACTCGACCAATGCTGGAAGCAGGAACGCTGCCACCAACACCGCTGCCTGAATCCGATAGTATGCCATTTCTCTCTCTCAATCTCTCTCTGTGTGTGTTATGGACTTGTATGAATAAAAGTATTTTCAATGAGGCTTTGGTATTTAATGAGACACAAAGATGACTGATCACCTCAACATTATAAACGAATAAATCTTGGATGCCAAGTCGTTTTAACCTGTTAGGTAAGCAAGTAAAGATAACCATGGTGTTTGTATTTCCCCTCCTCAAGTTTTCTTGCAAATTACATAAAGTAGTTTTCCGTCTTACGACTAAAATAAGTTTGGAAGTAAGCTAAAATGAAGCTCTTGTTGCCTCTTTCAATTGACTGCTACCTCGAACTCCTTGAAACTTACATCGCAGCTGCAATATCCCTCTACCTCGCTCTCCCCGAAAGCATGAGAATTTACAAAAAAACAAATTATTTAGCTTATATGATATGTGAGTGAATAATATCCTCCTTTGTGTAGTTTTTTCAATCTGGGACTTTAGTCCTTATTTGGCGCAAAGGTCCACAACTTTGTGAGTTTTTGCCTAACCCAAGTCCATATCCCTAACAGGCTAGTTGGACCTATGATTCAAAGCCTAATCTATTAGCCATAATAGGCCGCTCGTCAAACTATTCGTTGGACCTTACCGTGAGCACGACAAAAAATAAAAACATGCATGAATCTTAGTGCGATTTGGCTAAGCTTATGGGCCTGAAAAGATGGCCCGTCATCCCAACCTGCAAGTTAGCCTGTCTATCTAGGCCAAACTTGTTGGACAAAGCTGGGGCCTAAGGGTTTTGGCTCACGAGTTGACCTAGCCCGGCCAAAAAAAAAAAGCCTATTAAGGTTAGCTGACTGGCAAGGTTAGGCACCATTTTTACAGGTCAACCAAGCCTGGCCTAGTGCCGACCCTTATAGAGGATAACATTAAATGAAATCTAATTTGAAGGCATCATACTCAAGTATTTTCACTAATAAATCCTAATGAAAGAACCGGGCAAAGTAGAGGATAATGTCCACTCACAATGACATAGCAAATTAGTATCAACTTTTTATTTGTCACAAACATAATTACATAAAACTCAACTCCCTAATCATGGAGTGAATTGTGAGTTTTTAGCATTCTTTAATTTAGTACTTCATATATAAATCACACCCATAATAAATCTAGTTCCACGTTGCAAATTTTAGATTTTTGTCTTTTTAATATGTTTTTAGGTTGCTGATGGTGGTGCAGGCAGGGGACCTTCATACATCAAAAGATGCATATACCAGCATGTCAGGGCTATTGACATGGACAAAGCGATCAAGCCTCGTCTCTTTCACACACACACACATTCCCACTGCAAGAATGAATGTACAAGCATACAGAGCAACAGAAGCAGTACATGGTAGTACCTTGTAGGTGTTGCATATATCTATATATATTGGCACAGTATAGCTTCGAGAATAGTATACAATACATATGTATAGTTTGATGGTGATTGTGGTTGTGGTTGTGGTGGGTAGAGAGAGAGAGAGAGAGAGGCCCACAATATACATATAAAAAATGTCAAAAAGGAGTACATATCAATTTGTAGACGGGAAATTGTTTTCATAGAGGAAAATTGGTCTTTCTTGGTTTCAATCGAGTACATATCAATTTGTAGACGGGAAATTGTTTTCATAGAGGAAAATTGGTCTTTCTTGGTTTCAATCGCCTATAAAGAATATATATATATCTATCAAAAAATAATGTTTTGTAATTGCAACATCTCATCTGAATTTGCCTATTTTTCCACCCGTAATGTCACATGCTCTCTCTCTCTCTCTCCAACGACACAAAATAATTTTTCATCATGCTAACATTGCTAGATTCAACACTGCTAGGGACGTGTATTTTTTGACATAAAAGTCTGATAAATTAAAATGTGTGCCTTAAATTCATTCTGAGTGTAACGTAGATTACAATATCGACGAATTTGTAAACTTCACTTTCTATCAGGGACGGAGGGATGTGGGGGCCAGGGTTCACATGCCCCTGACTTTTCAAAAATTTTTTGTGTTTTTTTTGAGAACTTACACACAGTGCCTTATATACCTAACAATAATGATACATACCACTAAAATATCACCACTAACATCACCATTAATGATGTGGCAAGCTAAACAAAAAAACAAAAACAAAAAATTAAGACACAAAATACATGTGGCAGTGGGTGAGACTCACTGCCACATCCCTAGTGCAATCACTAATTAATGGTCTGCATCATTTTTCTATACCTAATACACAGTGGCCCACTTTGGCCTATTGACACACGCACACATGCACCCAATTTCCAAACACACTGACACACGCATCCAAACACACTGACACACTTTCAATCCAATTAAATTTTTTTTTTTTTATTCATGGAAAAACGACTGCAATGATTTTTTTTTTTTTTTTATCTCTCTTTGTTATTTTGTAATTTACCAACTCCCGATTCACCATATTAGAATCGTACAATACAAATTTGGGATCACACTATAACCCTGATATGTTCTTTTCATTGTTTACTGGTAACTTTATTTATGATTTTTTTTTAAAATAAAAATTATGAGTATCAATTTATAGTTATTCGTTAAGTTTTGATTTGTAAAAAAATTTGATTTGTTATTATTTATGTTAAAATAAGAGATTTTAACATGTTAAAATTATGAATTTTAATTGGTGGTGATTTATATTAAAAGTAGGGATTTTGGTTTGTTATTGTTTGTGTTAAAATTAGGGATTTGATTTGTGCTACAATTAAAAGTATTAATTTCTAGTATTTGTTATTTAAATTAGGGACTTTCATTTGTTATAATATTAGTATATTAGAAATTTTATTTGTTGTGATTTATGCTAAATTTAATTTTTTTGATTTGTATTAAAATTGGAGATTTTGATTTGTGGGGGTTTGTGATTTTGATTATGAATTTTTATTTTGATTTTTATTTTTAAAATAGTTATGGAGAAATATTTCAAAAGAAAATTAAAGTTGGAATCATCTCTTCCTTAAGAAGAAGATTATAATTATTTTTCTACAAAATAAAGTCACATAGAAATCAACTTAGTAGACCTTTCTGCAGATCCAGGACTACGGCCTCTGATTATGAACTATAATGTTAATGATCGAGACCAAATTTTAAGATTACAATTAATAGATGCCCCATTACATTAAATTCTTGGCCCTGTCACTGCTTTCAACGCACTCAATATAGAAACAAATGGCCAGGTTTGGTATCCTTCTGAAAAAAAATTGTTTTTGTTTTTCATGTTTTGAAAAATAAAAATAATGAAAAGTTCATGAACGCACTTTATTTAAAACGACTGGCCAAGTCTGGTATTCTTCTAAAAAAAATTTGGTTTTATTTTTTCATGTTTCGAGAAATAAAAACAATGAAAAGTGCAAAAATACTTTTGGTTTTCATAACTTTTATATTTTTCTGCATCAGTAAGTGTTTCCTAAGAAAGAGAGTTTTCAAAAAAAATAAATCTGTGAAAATAGTTTGTCAAACAAAACATTCCCCATAGGGAACCCATTAAGAACGAAAACAAAGGCATACTTTATGCTTAATGAGTCATCATATCCCAAGCCAAAAAATAAATAAAATATGAGTCATATCTATGGGCAATTGTTTACTTTTTTGGAGATAAAAAAAAGTACGTCTACATTAACTTAAAAACAGAGGATGCAACACTACGCGAGGGTTTAGGAAGTGATTTTTTATGTAAGTTTTTTTAGTTATAGAATATTATTAGATAAAAAAAATTTGGTGTTTGAAAAGATAGTTGGGTTTTTTTGTGGTTAGATGTGATGTTTATGAGAGAAAAAGTGAAATAATTATGGAGTTGGATGTGATATTTTGTTTGGATTTTTTTTTTTTTTTAATTTTGTAAAAACTTTGTCTTTTAGTGGAAAAAATAAATAAAAAAAAATCTAAAACCAAATCTTGTCAAACACCGCCATATGAAAAATGATATATAAGTGATGTGTTCATAAGATAATTAGTTGATAATTAGAAAATATTTAATTATCAACTAATTATTTTCTTCACACATTACTATGTCTAAACAGTGGGTTTAATTTTTGGACCTAAATAATAATGCTCCTTATGCATGTTATGAAAAGTTTCATTATTTACGACTAACATTGTATGTCATAAAAAAATATCATTATTAATATTAACTATTGGAAAATTTGGTTTTTATAGGAAAATTTGGGCTAACTTTGACCTCAAATTTGAGTGGGGTCCACACGTCTTTTGAGATGGATTCAAAGAGGTGACGTGTTCCTTACTGCATGGCAAGTCACATGATGAAGACGGTTCATCAAAACCATTTATGAGTGAATGGGAAGTTGACATCGTTTTCGAGTTTGTGGAATAGACAATTAAAAAATAAAATGTGGATTTCCTTATAAGGCTTGTCCCACATTTGAAACTTAAGAGAACTTATGTGTTTTGGAGAAAGTGGTTCAATTATTCATGAACGGAGAGGTCGTCTGAGTTTGTCTGAGATTGATGTACGCAGAGGTGGTGATGGAACTAGTGGTATTGATCATGGCCCGTTGATTTCGAAGGTTGGTGTTAAAAAAGAAGAAATTGATCGGAGATGATCAGCTGTTATGGATCTAGTAGAATTTTTTGATGTTTTACGAAATGTAATAATGAGTGTAAAAATAGTGATGTGAATCAAGATGTAATAGTTGATGATAAAGGAAATGTAATAAGTAAATAAAAGTTTGAGTGGTTTCGTAAATAAAACTAACAAAATTTTTCATTAATCATGACAGTAGTTACATTAACATCAAACCATTCTCTCATTTTTAGGGACATTGCATCTAACCAACTACTGTCCCCATTAGTTAATATAATACAAGGAATTCCTCCTCTGATAGTGAGATCTGGTTGGAATTTAACAAATACATAGAAGTCTATTTGGCAACCTACTAAATTTTTCATTAATTCGGTAGGGACTGTTCTTGAGGGTTCTTCGAGGTAGAAGGAGATTGGGCGAATGGGCCGCTATTCTGGTTTCCAGAGAGACTTCCATATATTTGTTAAATTCCAATCAAATCTCACTATTAGAGAAGGAATTCCTTGTATTATATTAA